AAAACTTTTGTTCTAACAATTTTTACGTCAGATAATAATTTAATTGGATAATTATCAATTAACCAATTAGCAAAATTCTAAAAATTTTTTATTGGCTAAAAATGATCGGAATAGCTTAAAACACGGAAAAAAGTAGTTTTTAGAAAAAATTTGAAAATTTTTCACTTACATTTTTTTTTCGAGACTTGGAAAAATTTCGAAAATTCAAAATATTTTTTTCCGCCAAAAGTGACCAAATTGCATGAAACGCGGAGAAAAATGATTTTCAAAAAAAACTTAGTCAATTTTTCGTTTCAAGAATACTTAAATCACCAATATTTGTAGTTGGAGTTCAGTAAATCTCGGCAGATTTTAGTAATAATCAGGAATTACTAACTCTAAGTGGAAAGGTCTGAAACTGAAAAACGTTAAGTTTAACCATACGATCGCGATATAAGAGTTTCATAACTAATTACAATACAGCCTTATCGATTTTCACAGAAACTGCACCAATGGCACAGTCAAGATCGAAACGATAGCCTGCTGTACTGTCATTTTATTGATTTCAATGATGAATCAGTGGGGTTAAGAATATCACATTTGTAATAAATAAAACCTCTCTGTACCGTCAATTGTGCTATCTAAACCGGCCTACCTGTATTACCAGACCTCTTCTTTTCCTCAACAATCAAACCGAGTTGTTCATATCGCATTTGGTGGGTGATGTAAACTAAGTAGTAATACATATCGAGCTATTTTCAATCACAATACGACACAATGCAACACGTGTATATTATATTATGGCCCTTAATGAGGTATATGAAACGTTCTATACCGTACACTTCTCGTTTCTCCCGTGAGAGGCCCGATATGGAGAGGTTTTACAGTTTATCACGAAAATGTCTAGTTGGTCTCATGGCTCTTTGACAGCTCAAAGAAGGCAAGAAAAGACCAGAAAACTTAGAATGTCAACTCGCAAGAGCGGGCTACCGGACAACTGAACTCAATTTAGACATTTAGATTAACCCTAACCCTAACCCTAACCCTAACCCTAACCCTAACCCTAACCAATTAAGCTGATTGGTTAGTGGGAACTAGGTTCAATTGGGTTCAGTTGTCAGTCTTCGATCTGTCCCACATTAATCCCGAGCTGATCATCATGGGCCCCGAATATCCTGCGGGAAGAACCTGTATTTTTACTTCACGACGTCCGGATTTCAAATCAACATCCTCAATAACATTAACAATCCTTCCTGATCAGGATCTGTCTCTATTATCAATTTCCAAAATATCCTGACTCTCGTGGAACATTTCACTGAATTAATTATTACCGGTTCTTTACTACCCCTTGCCCGACACTGTACTCGTATCTAAATCTTACCCTTTCCCGTATGTTACCCTTGTTGATTTTACTTTTAGCCGACCCTGATATATGGGGGTGATTTGAGGTATCCCGCAAATGAAGCGGTATGCAGTACAATACAAAACAGTCACAGTAGATGTTGGAAGGTGTATTTACACTTGCTTCCTGGACCTGGCTGTTCCTCAGTTTCCCTGATCTGTTCTTGCCCTTCTTCGAACTGTAAATGAGCCATGAGACCAAGTAGACGTTTTCGTGATAAACTGTAAAACCTCTCTATACCGGGTTTCTCACGGTATAAAGCGTTTCATAAACCTCATTAAGAGCCATATAATATATTTATACACGTACTGTGTCGTATTGTGATTGAATATAGCTCGATATGTATTACTACTTAGTTTACATCACCCACCAAATGCGATATGAACAACTCGGTTTGATTGTTGAGGAAAAGAAGAGGTCTGGTAATACAGGTAGGCCGGTTTAGATAGCACAATTGACGGTACAGAGAGGTTTTATTTATTACAAATGTGATATTCTTAACCCCACTGATTCATCATTGAAATCAATAAAATGACAGTACAGCAGGCTATCGTTTCGATCTTGACTGTGCCATTGGTGCAGTTTCTGTGAAAATCGATAAGGCTGTATTGTAATTAGTTATGAAACTCTTATATCGCGATCGTATGGTTAAACTTAACGTTTTTCAGTTTCAGACCTTTCCACTTAGAGTTAGTAATTCCTGATTATTACTAAAATCTGCCGAGATTTACTGAACTCCAACTACAAATATTGGTGATTTAAGTATTCTTGAAACGAAAAATTGACTAAGTTTTTTTTGAAAATCATTTTTCTCCGCGTTTCATGCAATTTGGTCACTTTTGGCGGAAAAAAATATTTTGAATTTTCGAAATTTTTCCAAGTCTCGAAAAAAAAATGTAAGTGAAAAATTTTCAAATTTTTTCTAAAAACTACTTTTTTCCGTGTTTTAAGCTATTCCGATCATTTTTAGCCAATAAAAAATTTTTAGAATTTTGCTAATTGGTTAATTGATAATTATCCAATTAAATTATTATCTGACGTAAAAATTGTTAGAACAAAAGTTTTTCTTCCTGATAATATGAACACACTCGATTGATTCGCAACCTTTTACGATGTTCACAACTAAAGATATTCGACAAATAAGAAAGGTGGTAAAAAGTGGTAAAGTGGCAAAAAGTGGCCTTAAGCCACGTGGAAAAGTTTGGAAAAGTTGGTCAGCCATAAAGGACACCTATTAAGACTCAAAAACGTCAAAAATCCTTTGTAAGCTTCGTGTGTCAGCAGATCGATTTTTTCAGACGGATTTCCCTGTACTATAAATCTTTCTCGCAATATAAATTTATAAACGCGCGGCGTAGTGCGTGCTCTAACAATCAAAAATAAATTATTTTTAAAATGAATAATGGAAAACAAAATTACAAAAGGATGTTCTTCTTAGACAAAAAAACGTTATGAACAACATGAAGTAATAATTTTTATCAAAAAATGTATGGAAATGTCCTTAGATATTTAAATATAAATGTACCTTACATATTATGATTTTGGGCTACTGACTTAGTCTAGTAGTATAGTGAAACTTTGTGATTGCAGATAGATTTTTGAAATTTACTTGTGATATTATTATTTCTATCAACATTTTGAGCTTCAATAAATATTATATTATCAATAACTAAAACTTACAACATCAAACATATCATGATCACATATAATGTATAAAGACGCGCGCCTTAAAATTACAAAGTTGAAGGTTATAATTAAATAAGAAATTCATAAACAGTCTTTTCGATTAGTAATTTACAATACAACAGGTAGTTATGTCTAAAATGAAAAATAAAAGCAACCAAATGAATCAACTTCAATACGGAACAAATAGTGATATGCCTACAAACATTGTTTTACAACGAGTTTTAAATTTGAGTCGCGTATTAGTTATAATTATGTGTTATGTGTTATTTTGTATATTACATGGCATACTAACTCGTATGGAAAACAGCAATTATACATCATAATTTCCATCAAAAATTAAAGATTAAATGCATAATGAATATTGACAATAGTTATACATGTTTGATTTTGTATTATACAGTACACACTGCGCGTGCAGTATGATGTGAATGATGAGAGTTCAGTTGCAAACGAGAGTTCAGTTGCAAATTAACTTCTTATCGCGATAAAAAAATCCCTGTACAAATAGCTTTATGTTGTATGACACTGATATGTTGTATGACACTGATATGAAGTATGCACGCGCATAGACACTGCACGCGCAGTGAACCACGTGTAACGAGCATTAAGGTCTACCGAAGTTTGTAGGGCGCGAAACTTTTTATATTGACGTGTTTGCGCTTCCTGAGTGAAGAGCTCGCGCCGGGTAGCCTCCCCCTCAAAAAGCCCACAATTACTCAATATTATGTAAAAGAAGGATAACCTACAATCTTTGTTTTATATTAGTGAATTTGAATATCTTGCAACTTGTTAAGACCACATTAAAATGCTTTGATATAGACTTTACATCATGCCGGATGTACCTTTAAGAACTTATAGAAATCATGTATCTAAAAGAGAATGATCTAGAGGGGGATGATTAGTAGTTAGAAATCGGATCGATGTAGCAGAAAAAAGCAAACCCTAGCAAAGAGTGCAAGTGTTTTTATAACCAAATTCAGACAATTGTCTCGCCCATCGCCTGACATTTTAGGGTTTTTAACCCCTATCACCCATAAACCGGGTGCTTCCAGATTTATACCGAAACCCATATTGGAAGAAAACACCCGATCTACAACATCAAAGCACATTTTAATAACTTGAGCACAAAACTGGTCAAAAAAAGACCAAAGTTGTTGCCCAATTTGGTATTTTTCCTCACGCGTGTAGCCAAAATGACCGATTTTTGTCAATATCTTAACAAATAAGCATTAAAGGGCTTATATTGCTTTATAAGTTGTATATAAATGTGATGTTTGCGCTCATTTTAAGCTAAAATTCAAGTCTTTACGATTTTCCTAGTTCAAGTTATCAAAATTCAGTCCCATTTTTGGTTCGCTGAGACAAAAAACAGTTTTTTGTCAATATCTATAAAACAAAGCACTGGAGACCTTATGTTGCTTCATAACTTGTATATAAATATGGCCATTGCGGTAATTTTAAGCTAAAATTGAAGTCTCTATGACCTTCAGGAGCTGCAATACAAAAATCCCGTATACGCGACTGAGGGTAATTTAGAAAATTTGCCCTGTAGGGTTATGTCTAGCGACACAAATTGCGTACCTAAACGATTTTGGTTAAGAATGATCTAACAAACAACCCTGTGTTGTCAGAAATCGTATACATCGAAGTGCACACTCAACTATTCCCTGCTACTAGAGTTCCCTGCTACTCCAGTTCCTCGTTCTGTGGTTACAATTATAAGTAATATATCTTTTAAACTAATTACAACACTACAAATCTATTGCACGGCAAAATAAAAAGCACGATTCCAATTTCCACATTCCAGATTTGTTATGTTTTGGTATTATTGGTATTCATAATCGATAATACATATCATGGCACATCATCACTGCATGAGACCAACTATATAAGAGGAGAAACGAGAAACAATAACGTAAATCTGTAACTTCATCAAATAATTTGAAACATTAAAGCCCGTCTTAGTCTTATACTTTGATTAAAAATAACTATAACAAAAGCAAAAGGCTCGGAAATGTATCAATTTGGCATGGTTAGTACCTGACACTTCAATGAAAATTGATAACCGAAAATATTTGTCATGTTATTCTAGCCGTTTTATATGGAGTTAAACGATTATCCCATTTTGGGCGATATCAAAAAGAGACACGCCCTGATAAGAACTGTAGCCAGGTTTATATTGGACTCCTCTCAAGATTAGTTGTGGCACTGATTAGTCGTGCCGCTCACCAATTTCCTGTTGGTACGACCTATGCTATGGTCCATAAAATAGGTCGTTTCAAGAAGAAATTAGTGTGCACCAGTGTAGGAGGGCTGCACAGGGAACAATACAGTAAATAACTGGAGGAGACGGTCCGTGCTTCAGTATAATAAGATTAAAGTGATTTCCATATAAAACATAGCACTAGCTATCAATACCCATAATATCACTTGATCACAGTTTGTACTATCACAGCTCATCTCTAGATCTCAGCAGGAGTTTGCCTTGCTGTAAAACTTGGCTCCCCACGAATACTCGCAGGTGTTTCATCATCTCGTAGTGGGAGATCTTGTTATCTTTGTCATCGTCTGTCTCCGCTGTGGATTTTAAGGTTTTAGTTGTCTTATTTTGAGCTGAATTGATCAGGAAGTACATGTCCATTGAGCGTTGAGCGTTGATGGATTAAAATATGGCCAGTTATGGTCATACTACACAATATAGTAGAGTTGACAGCATCAATGTTAACAGATAATATGCTCACTCATGATATGTACAGCTTCCTCGTGAGCAGGATCGTAATCGTAATGTGGTGGGAACAAGTAGTTCTCTACTTCCGGGTGAGACAGCTTACTGTCCTGAAATAAAGTTACACTACTAGTTACCATAGTTACGCTACTAGTTACCATAGTTACGCCACTAGTTACCATAGTTAACTCCTCCTCCAAACATTGGTTAAATCCTCCTCCAAACATTGGTTAACTCCTCCTCCAAACATTGGTTAACTCCTCCTCCAAAACATCGGTTAACGCCTCCTCCAAAACATTGGTTAACTCCTCCTCCAAACATTGGTTAACTCCTCCTCCAAACATTGGTTAACTCCTCCTCCAAACATTGGTTAACTCCTCCTCCAAACATTGGTTAACTCCTTCCCCAAAACATTGGTTAACTCCTCCTCCAAACATTGGTTAACTCCTCCTCCAAACATTGGTTAACTCCTCCTCCAAACATTGGTTAACTCCTTCTCCAAACATTGGTTAATTCCTCCTCCAAACATTGGTTAACTCCTCCTCCAAAACATCGGTTAACTCCTCCTCCAAAACATTGGTTAACTCCTCCTCCAAACATTGGTTAACTCCTCCTCCAAACATTGGTTAACTCCTCCTCCAAACATTGGTTAACTCCTCCTCCAAAACATTGGTTAACTCCTCCTCCAAACATTGGTTAACTCCTCCTCCAAACATTGGTTAACTCCTTCTCCAAACATTGGTTAATTCCTCCTCCAAACATTGGTTAACTCCTTCCCCAAAACATTGGTTAACTCCTCCTCCAAACATTGGTTAACTCCCCCTCCAAACATTGGTTAACTCCTCCTCCAAACATTGGTTAACTCCTTCTCCAAACATTGGTTAACTCCTCCTCCAAACATTGGTTAACTCCTCCTTCAAACATTGGTTAACTCCTCCTCCAAACATTGGTTAACTCCTCCTCCAAAACATCGGTTAACTCCTCCTCCAAACATTGGTTAACTCCTCCTCCAAACATTGGTTAACTCCTCCTCCAAACATTGGTTAACTCCTCCTCCAAACATTGGTTAACTCCTCTTCCAAACATTGGTTAACTCCTCCTCCAAACATTGGTTAACTCCTCCTCCAAACATTGGTTAACTCCTCCTCCAAACATTGGTTAACTCCTCCTCCAAAACACTGATTCACTTGTTCAATGCTGCATTCGCCAAGGATCCCGTATAATTGTGATTTTACTGCAAACCTTACTGGACTTGATATTGACAACAATAAACATATCCTTCAGCCAGGCAATCAAATATTATGAAAGGGATGGTTTGAAATAATACCACCATTAATCTCACTGTTCTAAATTTCATTATCCACCACCCCCGTGATATGAACTCTCATCACCACAGCTCTGGATCATGTGGTGTTCTTATAATTATGAAGCGCAAGGAGAATCAAATATCAGGGCCGTGTTCAATAATAATAACAGTTCAATAATAATCATGGTTTCGCTGGGATCATTATTTTATGGTTTCATGTCTGGTACCATTGTGTATACAGATCAAGGTCCCATAATGGTTCTTTCCTTTCATTAATATCTTCTACTTCTAAAGGAACCCGCCGCTGGTCAGAGCCATTCTATTCCGTGCTGCACTTCATGGCAGAATCATCCTGCCTACCTGCCTAGGTCGATCTGCCTAGGCAGAATCATAACAGATACAAAATAGCAAATAGGTCACAAGTTACCATAGTTACACTACTAGTTACCATAGTTACACTACTAGTTACCATAGTTACGCAGAATCATAACAGATACAAAATAGCAAATAGGTCTGCACTATCACATGAACTTCGTTGTCGTTTGTTGTACCTTATTTTCGTCGATTTTAGAAAAGCGCTCATTTAAACTAAGCTCCCAGTCGTCTCCCGTGTTTAGATCCTTCAACTCGACACTTTGAGCTGAGAAATATTAATTTGTTAATGATCGGAGGTACCTTTCTTGTATCTCATTCAGCATTCCACCCAGAATAACATCCATAATTTTACACGTTCAACAATTGTATAAGTTATAAAAGCACTAATACACAGATTGGAGTGCTACTAAAGTGCTAGTAAGTAGTATATATCTCATATAATAATCTAGTATTGTAGTGAGTACTCACAGATTGGAGTGCTACTCTAGTATTGTAGTGAGTACTCACAGATTGGAGTGATACTCTAGTATTGTAGTGAGTACTCACAGATGTACTCCTCGAATGACAGGATATAGTCCCCATCAGCGTCTCTATCGTCAATGTACTCATCAACCAGCAGGCCATGCATATGTTGGTGATGCATCTCGTCAGGCGCATAGAACGGCCCAAACTCGTTCCTAAAAAACAAATGAGTAGTGCCTTCTTCGGTGTAGTTTCTTAAACATTATATTAATCTTATAGAATTTAATCTCATAGCATTTCTTAAGACTAAAGACCACAAAATCTTAAATAGAATCCCTCGCTAAAGCTTTGGTTTTTGCTTCATGATTTTCTTTAGTGTAGTATCTTTTGGGGTTTTATCGAATAGGTCTCTCAGACTCATGGAAGCAATTAACATTTTTAAAGAGACAAAATGGTACACAGTATAAAAAATACTTACAATGATAGTCTACTATCTCCGTCTTGGTACACAGTATTAAAAATACTTACAATGATAGTCTACTATCTCCGTCTTGGTACACAGTATTAAAAAGACTTAAAATGATAGTCTACTATCTCCGTCTTGGTACACAGTATTAAAAATACTTACATGATAGTCTACTATCTCCGTCTTGGTACACAGTATTAAAAATACTTACAATGATAGTCTACTATCTCCGTACTACAGTAGTAAAAATACTTACAATGATAGTCTACTATCTCCGTACTACAGTAGTAAAAATACTTACAATGATAGTCTACTATCTCCGTCTTGGTACACAGTATTAAAAATACTTACAATGATAGTCTACTATCTCCGTCTTGGTACACAGTATTAAAAATACTTACAATGATAATCTACTATCTCCGTCTTGGTACACAGTATTAAAAATACTTACAATGATAGTCTACTATCTCCGTCTTGGTACATAGTATTAAAAATACTTACAATGATAGTCTACTATCTCCGTCTTGGTACACAGTATTAAAAATACTTACAATGATAGTCTACTATCTCCGTCTTGGTACACAGTATTAAAAATACTTACAATGATAGTCTACTATCTCCGTACTACAGTAGTAAAAATACTTACAATGATAGTCTACTATCTCCGTACTACAGTAGTAAAAATACTTACAATGATAGTCTACTATCTCCGTCTTGGTACACAGTATTAAAAATACTTACAATGATAGTCTACTATCCCCGTCTTGGTACACAGTATTAAAAATACTTACAATGATAGTCTACTATCTCCGTCTTGGTATACAGTATTAGAAATACTTACAATGATAGTCTACTATCTCCGTCTTGGTACACAGTATTAAAAATACTTACAATGATAGTCTACTATCTCCGTCTTGGTACACAGTATTAAAAATACTTACAATGATAGTCTACTATCTCCGTACTACAGTAATAAAAATACTTACAATGATAGTCTACTATCTCCGTACTACAGTAGTAAAAATACTTACAATGATAGTCTACTATCTCCGTCTTGGTACACAGTATTAAAAATACTTACAATGATAGTCTACTATCTCCGTCTTGGTACACAGTATTAAAAATACTTACAATGATAGTCTACTATCTCCGTCTTGGTACACAGTATTAGAAATACTTACAATGATAGTCTACTATCTCCGTCTTGGTACACAGTATTAAAAATACTTACAATGATAGTCTACTATCTCCGTCTTGGTACACAGTATTAAAAATACTTACAATGATAGTCTACTATCTCCGTCTTGGTACACAGTATTAGAAATACTTACAATGATAGTCTACTATCTCCGTCTTGGTACACAGTATTAGAAATACTTACAATGATAGTCTACTATCTCCGTCTTGGTACACAGTATTAGAAATACTTACAATGATAGTCTACTATCTCCGTCTTGGTCAGCCTGTCTCCATCTGGCTACCAGTCTGTTTTCAGTTTTCTCAGTAGGAGTGGCAGTGCCCGGCTTTCTAGCTAAACAAGATCTGTACTCCTTAAAGGTTATGTCGTGGTCCTGCAAGGAAAGGGTTATCAACTGTCGTGAAATACATTTT